TAAGATATTACCAAATTGTTTTCCAAGGAGGCTGTATCCTTTTGGAAGTTCCAGTGGTTCTATGTCTTTGCTAAAACTTAGCGTTGACAGTGTCTTTAATTTAGGCATTCCAGTGTGTCTTATTATTTTAATTTGCATTTCTCCCATGACTACTAAGCATCTTTTCATGTGCTTATTTGCCATTTGAATATCTTCTTTTAGAACTGTATGTTCAGGGGCATCTGGATAGCTCAGTTGGTTAAGCATCTGACTTTGGCTCAGGTCATGATCTCACAGTTTGTGAGTTTGAGCCCCTCATCGGGCTTCACATCAGGCTCTGTGCTGACAGCTTGGAACCAGGAGCCTGCTTCAGATTCTGTGTCTCCTTCTCTCTGTCCCTCCCTGCTTGTGCACTCTCTCTCTCTCTCTCAAAAATAAACATTTAAAAAACGAACTGTATGTTCAAACATTTTGCACATTTAAAAATTCAAGATTGTTTGACCTATCATGGAATTTATTGTGGAGTTCTTATGTATTCTGGGCACAAGTCCTTTACAAGATACAGGTTTTACAAATATTTTTTTTCCAAGAAGAGGAGCAACTCTTAAAGTGCAGGCAAATATCTGGTTTCAGGGGAGATAAAAGGACCCAAATCTATGTAGTCAAATCTAGTTTGTTTGAGTCTCCAGCTTTAGAAAATAACAAATTGACCTCTTGTTTGTGTCAAAAAGTAGAAAGCATATTCAAGCACGTGACATATAAAGGATGAGCCCTTTGATGGCTTTTGTGTATGTAGGAGATCAAAAACTTTTGCACAGAATAATAATGTTTGTTTGTGATTCCAACCTATAATGGAAGAACAGTTTGTTAGAAAAGTAAATTTTATAAATGACAAGCAATCCTTACCTAAACAAACCTGTTACAGAGCTGCCAGATGAGCAACATCGACTTATTTAAGCTCTTCTGTACCTCATTATATATCCAAATGAGAATGTATGTATAAAATTTACCTCACATACCACTCTTAGGTCTTAGGCAGCAATGGACACATGTGGAACTGACCAAAAAGATAGGCTGTCAGTTATAAGAGCAAAGGCCAAGCCCATGCTAAAGATGGCTTCAGACTAAATGATCAGTTTCTAATCCAGGGTTGCTTATTATATTTGACACTAATGAATGTGTAGTCAGTGGGTAAACTGGAGATGGCTGAAAATAAGGGGAGTCATCAGATATTTTTAAATAAATGAGTGACATGAGAAAAAGTTGAGAAATAGAACTGGTTTTAATGTAAAGCATTTGAATTGGTAGTGAAACCAATTAAGAGGCTATTGCCTGACTTAGGTAAAAGATGAGAAGGCACCAAAATAGGGCCAAAGAAGAGGCAAGATTTCAAAAATACCACAGAGATGTAATTGACGGGACTTTGTAATCAAATGAATACAGACCTTAAAGAAGAAAAGTGTCAAGATGACTCCATTTGGCTGGCCTACTTGGTGATGCTCTTAATCAAGATAAGACAGTAAGTATCAGAAACAAGTTTGGAAGAGAATACGATGAGCCCAGTTTTGAAAGTTGAGTTTGAAGGGTCAGCAGAACCCCACAAATGGGTGAGATTAATGAGTAGATAGAAACGTAACTCTGGGGCTCAAGGGAGGTATCTGGGTTAGAGAAAGAAGATTGGACATCATCAGAGTCTATTTTAAGATGGGATAATATATTTCAGTATATTCACGCAGAAAAAAAAAGAGCAATGACTATAGTCTGAATCCTAAAAAATATTAATAGTTAAGGGGCAGGTACTACTTGGTGACAGGAAGGAGATAGTGTTTAGAGAGATGAGGGAACTCATAATCTTAAATGCCAAAGAGAAAAGTTTCAAGGAATGGAGAGTGGGGATGATTGCCCATTACTACAAACAGGTCTTTGCTAAAAAGAAGATACGGAATTTGGTGATCAAAAAGCATTGGTCAAAACTGGAACTAGCCTAAAGATCCACCAGCAAAAGAGTAGATAAACCAATTGTATGTCTTTATACCATGGAAAACTACTCTGCCATTAAAAGGAATGATTACTGCTATACTCCATAAAATGGATCAATCTCAAAAATATTGTGTTGAGTGAAAAAAAAAAGCCAGACACACAAAACTACATACCATATGATTCCATTTATATGATAACCAAGGATTGGCAAAATCAGTCTATGAGCGATAGAAATCAGAAAGAAGATGACCCTGAGGGAGGTAGGAGGGGATGTGGTGGTGAGGAGAGAATTGATGGTAAAGGAGCGCAAGAGAACGTTCCTATGTGCAAAAATGTTCTTTACCTTGTTTGAGGGTAGTTAAAATTGCCAAAACTCATTGAGCTGAAAATTTAAAGCCAGAGCAGTCAGAATACAAAAGGAGTCATCAAAGATAGGAGATTGAACACCTGAATTTTCTTGCTATCTAAATTCCCACTGATTTAGAGAGGCATTCCTTTACAAAAGCAGATGTCCATACAAAGAGAGACACCACAACTATAAAATTTTCAAAGCAGAAAAACAGAAATGATGTAGTAGAGAACTTGGCAAGCCCAAGAAATAAAAGCTAAGTGGTCAGTGAAGTAAGTCATAAATTCAGTCTGTACTACAATAATCCTAAAAAGCTCAAAAATGGGGATTGACATTTAAGGGAGGCTAAAAAGAAGACGGTTGTTTGAAATTCTGTTTTAAAGTAGATAGAGCCCTGGATTTACTCCCCCAGTTTATATCTAGGTGACTTTTCTTCCCCACCATCAGCCCAAAACTAGAAGTTGATTGCCTGGAGAGGCTACAACAGAAGTTCCCTAGGCTGGGGGAACACTAGACATAGTTGAAGGTGAGGCACTCAAGTGGAAATGGGAACTTCAGTGACAGTGATATTTATGTTCTAAATATTGAGGTTCTCAGGCCTCTTTTGTAGCTCAGCCTCAGCATATTAGAAAACACACTCAAGAAAAATCTGAGAATCTGAGTGCTGAGAAATCTGATTGGCCCATGATAGTAAAATAAAATAAACTAAAAACAAGGGCAGCAAACCCCCAACTAGAACAGGTAAGAAGGCTCTGAGAGAGACGTCACCAAGGAAATTAGATTACTAGAGTAACACACTTAGGGAGTTAGATAGCTGAGGAAGTATTTGAGTTTGAATTTAGGGATAAATACATTGAAAACTAAGGAAACAAATAAACAAGATGCTTATTAACTCCTAGGATAATGAAAAGTTGAGAATGGAAGACAAAATAATCAGAGTGTGATACACATGTGAACAGCATTTACATGGTCAATAATAAATATAATAAACACTGAATACTGATTTATCCAAAAACTGAAATTATGACATAACTATAATTATAAAAGATACAGTGTACGAATGTGGGGTAGGCGAGGGATGGGGACAGGTAGTAAAAAAAATAAATCATCATGCAGAGAGTAAAGTCTATAAATAATGATTTGTACTGAAAAATCAAGAAGTAACAGCATAAACATGTTGTTAGAGGTAAATGCCAACAAAAGAAACAGGCGAAAGAGTTGCCCCCAAAGAGGCATAAATGAAAAAGGACAGGAGGGGTAATGTGTGACTCTTCAAACCATATGCATTCAATAACTATGATTTTTAAAGTGTAATCAGATAAAGTAAACTAGTAAAGGTATTTGCAAGAGCATTTCAGGAAATTACATTGTAATGGATTGAAGAGTGAATGAATATTGAGACTGTTCTCGGGCAATTGAGTAGTGTAAGGAAGGGAATATTGGGGTAGGTTAGTACAGTTGCTTGATGGAAAGATTAGGATTGAGGGGAAAATTGTTTGTGTGATTATGGTGATTTAGGTAGCTAACTAATTGGTTAGTCAATTTGTTCAAGACAGGGATAAGCTTAAAGAGAAGAAAGCAGTCGAGAGAATTTGCTGAGGTGAGGGAATAAATGAGGTATCAAGGTCCCAGAAGAAGTGGTGGATGTTGAAATAAAAAACAAGATGAAAGGGTTAGCTTTGAAAAAGAAGAGGAACATCATTTTTTTTATGATGAAGGAAAGGATTATTAAAAGAATTTATGTCTGATAGCTTATGTTCAGTTATATTTTCTCATTGGCAGCAGTGGCTAAGTTCTCTGTTGTGGGACTGGGATATTTTTCATGATCTGAGATTGGGAGCCAACCAGACAAAAAAATGAAAGGAATGCTGAGTAGCAATTTTCAGAGCCCAGCTGAGGATGAAAATCAAAATGTATTTATTCGTCAGCCCGGTCTGCCATAACAAAATACCACAGACTGAGTGTCTTAAACAACAGACATTTATTTTCGCACAGTTCTGGAGGCTGGAAAGTCCAAGATCAAGGTGCCAGCAGGGCTTGGTCCCTGGTAAGCACACTCTTTCTGACTAGCAGACAGCCACCTTCTCACTGTGTTCTCACATGGCAGATTGAGAGAGCGCGAGCTCTCTGGTGTCTCCCCTTGTAAGGAACCAATTCTGTTGGATCAGAGCTCTTTCCTGTGACCTCATTTAACCTCAATTACTTCTTACTCCACATACAATAACATTGGGCGTTAGGGTTTCAGCATACGAGTTTGGGTGGGGACACAATTTAGTCTACCACATATATAATTCAGCACTGAGTTATCTTGCCATTTATACCCAATAGTCCAAGAGTAGGGGAGAGGACAGATGGTTAAGTTGATCTGAATTTGGGGACTAGCATGATCGAGGTGGCAAATGAGTGGAGGGGCTGGTGAAAGCAGGGCTAAGATGACTGTTCATGCATTCCAGGAAAGGAGAGGGAAGCCAGGAAAAGACTGGGTTTAGATTAGGGGATGGGTAGGGACTGGTAGGCTGGAAAGCCAACGGGACCCTTTGCATAGCATACCTTGAATGGGTACAGTACTTTGTTGGGACATAACTTTTCATTTCTACACTTTCAACTTCATTGGCAATAAATGAGAATCAATCTGAAAAGAAAATTTAGGCTTATTAGTGGTAGCAATCACCACCTTTTTCTTTCTTTTCAGACGACTGCATACATTGAACAAGTGTGCCTCAATGAAACTTGATGTGAACTTCCAAAGGAAAAAGGTAGGTGTCTACCCCTTACTAAGATCATGGTTTATGTTAACAAAAGAAGTTTGCATTCATGGATTAAAAACAACAGGAACCCAAGCAAAATTCTGAAATTCCTGACCATCTATGTTTTCCAAATATCCCAGCTCATCATAACCATCATAAATAAGTCCCATTATAAATCCAGGCTGAGTTCCATTTGTTTCACCATTTCACTTTGTTTTCATTTTGATCAAAGAGTTTTGCTGAAAGATATAAAATGCCTTCTCTGTGGTCATCTTTTAGAAGTTTCTTTAGTCGTAAGTATCCACTCCCCATCAGTCTCAAGTACTCCACAGTGATGCGTAGATTAAGCGAATGCAGAAAAGAACCCGTGGGCCCATGCCAAATGTCTTTTGCTTCATCCTGTTCCATAGCATTTTATTTCCAAGTACCCTGGAAGATGTGCTCATCCGCAGGCAGGTTCATTTCATAATCAGTGAAGGGTCGTGTGGAGTGTGGCAACAAGATGCGGGGCCTGCCTCCTCTATACCATCCCTCCCACTTACACTTCTCTCTGCTCACAAGGAATTTCGTTCAGTTTTAAGAGTCACTATGCTGGGGCGCCTGGGTGGCGCCATGGGTTAGGATCGACTTCAGCCAGGTCCGATCACCATGGTCGTGAGTTCCGAGCCCCGCGTCAGGCTCTGGGCTGATGGCTCGGAGCCTGGAGCCTGTTTCAGATTCTATGTCTCCCTCTCTCCCCTCTACCATTCTCTGTCTCTCCTCTGTCCCAAAATAAATACGGCAGTGAAAAAAAAAAATTAAAAAAAAAAAAAGAGTCACTATGCTCCCTCCGTGTTCTAGGACTAGCATGTGCTATTCCCTCTGTAGGAATGAGACTGGACACTTCAGTTCTGAAATAAAGCTGTACTTTATTGAGCACTTACTGTTTTCGAGGAGCTATGTTATGTGCTTGCCATACGTGATCTCATTGAATCCATTGAGGTAGAATCTCTGTTTTCTAGACAAAGGAAATAAAACTTGAACGGGTTGTCATTTGCTCATGATCTTTAAGCTAGCGGGAGAACAGAGTTTCAAACTCAGGCATGCCTGACTCCAAAATCAAGGCTCCTAATAACCACTGTCGCTGAAAACCCTCCCTATCCCTCAGTGAATTGACCCTCTTGGGAAATTCAAAATTAAGATCGTTGACTACTTTTTTCATTTCACATCTCCAATATGTAACAAGTCAAGCCACAGTATATTTTGAAGAAGCAGAGAAAACATCTTTGAGTCGAAAGAAAGTGCTCTTTATCCTGGTCTACCCAGAGAAATCATTAAATCCAATGGATTTTAAGTCACTCTTGAGTAACTTGATCTTTAAAAAATAACTTGAATTTGAATTTCTATTCTAAAATAGCACCCAAAGGAAAAAAAAAAAGCAAATGAATTTTGGTTGACCTCACCTTAAAAACAGTTTGGGGTTTGAGTAAGAAACCAAAGATTTAAGCTAATGAGGTAAAATGGTGAAAAACAATATCCAGAGAAATATTAAAATATGAGCAATTTGTCTAGGCCAAAGACAAATTAAAAATGTGGAAATAAACGTCCCAACAGCTGTCTGGCTGAATAGACCCCTTGAAAAGTATACACACGATCTGAAGCGTGAGCATCAGATGTTGTTTTGGTCGTAACACATGGTTCTTATTAACCTAACACAGCCACGCCTATGTGTCTAAAGCATGGCTGATCCATACGGCTTCCTAGACAGATCTGTGTAGCTGCAGTGTATTACAGAAGACAAAAACTAATGACATGATTTGTTTTCAGCCAAGTGGAGTGATCAGATTCTCACCCTATCACCAGCTTTTCAAAAACCCACACGTGAGATCGGCCGGAATAACATTTGTTAGGCTGGTTGTGTGTTACCTTCACAAAAGTTCCTCTGTAAATTGGTCACTTCAGTATTCTGACATTCTTAATTTATTCCTCACGTTGGATGTAGCGGCCCTTACCCTTACAGCCCCTGCTCAGCTAGAGGCCTCACAAATGCATGCACTGAAATAAAATACGGCTTTGCACTCAGTAAATTGAGAAGACATGGCCTGACTTCTTAAATAAATAATTTCAACATGTGGTCTTCACCACTTTGTGAATCTCAATAATGACCAGCATCTGGGGCTGTGGTCTAAGCAGTTATGCAGGAGACCGTGTGGGGGTGTGCATTCCTGTGATCTGCCCCTTCCACAAGTCATAGGCTCACCCTTTATTTTACTGCACCAAAAAAATATACATACATAAATACAAGCTAGGACTAGGTCAAATGATCAAACGTAGAAAGTGAAACTTGAGAAGAAGCACCATGTGACACTGCAGTCAACTTCGGAATTCGTTTAGTTGGAAGAAAAAGACAACCAGCAGCATTTCCTCTAGGTATGTCCCCATTTTAGGCAATCTAAGAAATAAAAATATAATCCTTATCTCTCATCTGCAGAGGCCCAGACATGATTCATTCTGTAGAATATCATCCCCAAATTGCCTAAGTGTCCATAGCCCCAGTGGTTCTTTCTCCCTTTGGGATCAATGAAAGGGCTACACGTGCTCACCTAGCAGTTTGTGTGGGCAGCAAACACCCACACAGAGCATGCTCTGTGCCAGGCGCTATCCCTCCCCGTGTACTCCAAGTCACGGATGCACAGGGAGTAACTTGCTCAAAGTCACGCAGAAATAGCAAGGTTTGACCCCAGATACTCTGGCACCAAAATGCCCCTCCTTGCCTTTCAAAGAATTCACAGGGGCCCCTGGCCAGTTAGTCAAGCATCTGACTCTTGATGTTGGCTCAGGTCATGGTCTCGCAGTTCATGAGTTTGAGCCCCGAGTCAGGCTCTGCACTGCAAGTACTAGGGATTCTTTCTCTCCCTCTCTCTGCCCCTCTCCTGGTCTCTCTCTCTCTCTCTCTCTCTCTCTCTCTCTCTCTGTCCCTCAAAATAAATAAATAAACATTAAAAAAAGAAACTTTAAAAAAATAACACAAAGGGGGCACCTGGGTAGCTCAGTCAGTTAAGCATCAGACTTTGGCTCAGGTCATGTTCTCACGATTCGAGGGTTGGAGCCCCACATCGCATCGGGCTCTGTGCTGACAGCTCAGAGCCTGCTTCAGATACTATGTCTTCCTCTCTGTCTCTGCCCCTCCACCGCTCATGCTCTGTTTCTCTCCCAAAAATAAATAAACATTAAAAAAAAATAATAACAAAAAAATTCAGAAATGTACTGGAGTCTGAGGGGACTTCTGGCACTTGGCCTGAGGCCTGGAAGAGTTTCCTCTGCAATACATACAATTATAATGTATTTTTATTGTTGTTTTTAGAAGAGGGATGTTTCTTGCCATCTGCACAGAAGTCCATGATTTATTTAATGTCCTTGTAGAAATGCAACTCTGGGTTTCTCACAGTGAATGTCCTTGCTCTGCTTTGCATTTCCTTCTCATTGGATTTCTTTTTTAAATTCTGAAGAGTTTGATGGGTTCACCCAAGAAAGAAAAACAAGTATGCAAACAGATGAGGATGGTGAAGCCTCATTCATACTTACTTGGGCACACACCTTTCTTGGACAACAAATGGCTACTTGTAAAGCCCCAGGAAAAATGAAATCACACCTGCCTCCCCCTCTCAAGATAGTAACGCAAGATTTTCTCTTTGTGGGAGAGAAAAGTGATTTATCAGAGATTCAAGGTAACCTTCCCTGTCTCTGTGAGAGTCAAGTAGAGAGGAGTATTCTCAGTCTCGGCCACACACTTACCAAAACCCAGGTGGGAGGCATTTCTGGAGACCCTGAGGACACCAGCAGCTCCCCTGCCTCCGGCTTCAGGCTCCTTCCCCTGCAGCCCTGCAAATGGCACATTCCAGCTTTCGAACAGGTGGACTCCACCACTCAGCTCCCGTTAACCTGAATGGAAGATACACTTCTAAATTTCTACGTAACCGTGGATTAGCTGCCTCTTGCAGCTGTCGACCTGTGTGGGCTCCTGTTTCCAGTGTAAAGATCTGGCCAAATGCCATTAAAATAAAAAAATTAAAAAGAAAAAAAAAACACCTTTCTTTTGCAATGTCTGTTTGGCATTTGTCTCTGAGGAATATATAATTTCAACTCAGAATGTTCCCATTTTTCGGAAAAGCCAAAATATCAGCATTTCATCTAAAGTAAAAACTCCAAAGCACACACAGAGCTACTTGTTCTCAGAAAAAGTGTTTCTTCTTCATCATTACCTACAAAATTCACACTTGCTTCACGATGACCTTCAAACTCCCCATTGGTTAGTGTTTATGTGGTATGACTTTCGTTCAAAGTTAAAGTTGAGACCAAAGACTCCAGTAGGCTGTCTGTTAAATGAGGAAAGAGACGGACATATATGCTCACAAGGCTCTTCCCTACGATTTCCCAAGAGAGAAAGGCTGGCTTCAAACGGTTCTGGTTAAAGTTATAGTTTTAATAAAGCTCTCCGAATCATGACCAAAGGTGGAAAGCAACTCAGAAACCATGACTAATTGCCACCTTGCAGCCAGCATCTCGGGGCCTGGATGCTATCAACATTTCAAAGGAACTGCAGCTGTTGTCCAGGGGCCCAGTCTCCTCTCCCCTCCACCCCCTCTGCTTTTCACACACACCCCAGTCTCTCCCTCCAAATTAGACGCTTCCCACTAGCTCCAAACAGCAGAGTCAAAAGAGAAAAAAATTACATCGTATTCTAGCATTCGCTTGACTGGAGAGTATTACAGTCTCAAATTGAAGATAATTGCAGGTGCATATCCTAGAACCATTAGATTTTTGAGTTGGAAGGGATGTTCCATCATCTCCTCCAGCCTCTCATCCACTACAGGATTTACTTCCGAGAGCCTTGCTCATAGCCCACTCAGCCTCTGCCTGTGAGCATCTAGCCACGATGAGTTTGCTGCACTGCAGGGCAATTTATTTTCTTTCTAATTACTGGAAGTCTTCCACACAGTAAGCCAAAAGCGGATTTGATGTAAACTCTCGCCCATTGGATTCTAGCTCTTTTCTCTGCAGAAGCACCGAGGGCTCACTTTTCACACAGCAGCCCATCAGCTCTCAATCCTCTAGACTGGGGGTCCGCAAACCACTGTTCCTGTTTTTGCAAACAAAGTGAAACTTGCATTAGAACACTCATTCTTCTGGCTCTAATAGCAGAGTTGACCAGGTATGACAGGGATCGCATGGCCCAGAAACCTATAATATTTACTATCTGACCCTTTACAGAAAGTTTTCTGACCTCTGCTCAATCTTGAACAGTTTCTCAAACTGTCTATGGTGAGTGACTTAGGGTTTTTTGTTTGTTTGTTTGTTTATTTATTTTTACTTCATGAAATTTTATCTCATTAAGAGGCCACCATTCAGTTCTGTTAAGGTCTTTATACATCCCGATATCACCAGTCTCTAACAACAATAAGTAGCTTTACATTGTACTTTAAGGTTTACGTGGCATTTTCACATATAATCTCCTTTGGCTGTGTTGACAAATCATGCTGGATTTATATTACTATTTTTCCCATTTACAACTGAGATAGTTGACTCTCAAAAAGGGTACCTTGGTCAACATTACTTAGTGAATTACCTAACATGAGTTCTCCTGGCTCATTCAAGTTATTCTTAAAATTGACATAACTTGGAGGCATCCTCCAGAGAGCTCTCCTGTAGTTGCATTCAGCCTTTTGACCACACTCTTTGGTGTGAACTACTCAACCAGTTACCAAAAGAACTCTCTATAGCATCCAACACGGTTAGCCATCTTGGTCACAACGATATCGTGAGAATCTCTTGTCAGTTCTTTTGCTGAAATCCAGACACTCTGTGTCTGGATTTCCATGGTATACTAAACCATTGAGATGGGAGATTAAGGTTTGTCTGGTGTGTCTTTTTCTCATAAATACATCTGACTCCTAGAGATTTCCATTTTGCATTCCTAAATAATCAAGCTATTTGTTTTTAAGCCTCAAAAAAATTATCAAACAGAGGAAATCTCAATATCTCTTAATCAGTACACTTCCACAATTACTGGCGAGTCGGCTGTGTGCACGTTAAGTCTGCTGGGCCCTGAGTGTTTAGAAAAAAAAAAAAAAACAACTTAAACTCTAATACAGTGTGTTTTTCATATTGTCAGTCACGACACGTTGGTGAGCTATGAAACAATTTTGGTGGGTAACAGACAATATTAAGAAAAATGGACTAAACTAGATTATAAAATATGAGTAAAAACAAGGATAATATTTATATCATGAGCTTGGTTATTTATTCGTTTGTATGTTTGTTTATTGTAACATGTGTGTGCCTTAAGTTGTGATGGAAAGTTTCTTATTGTATGTCACTATAAATAGGTTGAAAGATTGTGCCCTGGTGGAAAAACCAGACAGAATCATGTCACTGCCCTTTGGGACATACTATGATAATCATATGCACAGGATGCTAAAGGAGAATGGGTGTTTTTTTTTTTCTTTTTTTCTTTTTTTTGTTTGTTTTTTTGCTTTGGTTTTCATTTGTTTGTTTGGGTTCAAAAGATCTAAATACTGCAAAATTTCCCTGAACTGCTGGCCGTGTTTTCCAGGAGTTTACCACTTTTTCACATGCCTTGGTTGGATTGTAAATACCTTCCTGTTGCCCAAAGCTAGTATAATAAACCCTTAGAGTCTAGCAGACGGGGGCAAGCTTTCCATTGCCAGTCCACAGTGCCCAGCTTGGCATCTTTTCTTGACCAAAATAAAGGAATCCTTATCCAACTCGTATGTGGTTTTCCAGCATCAGTAACCGAGTTTGGGCTAACTTGAGAGACATCATTGGAGCCCACGCTAAATATCGTAGTTTCTATTTAAAATATATACATTTTCTTTAAAAATATATCCTTTCTTTGCCTTCTCAAAACATATTTGCTAAAAGGGCTTTTTCAGAATGCTAACTTAATATCAGCTTCTTTTCACTTGCTTCCTGAAATGTGATCTGAAAATCCAGTGAGCTCACCCTTCAACCTTTATGGTGCCTGATACATAAGTGGCTCTCAAATGTCATGTCTTACTGTGTATCAATCACAGAAAAAGAGAACTCTAAAATGCTATAAAGAAAGTATAACTTTGATTCATCACCCGAGACCCTTTCCTTTTTTCCTACGTGTACATCTTTTTAAACTCTTTTGCCAAAGCTTTATATGACTTTTTTTTAAACTGAAAGCTAATTTCCCACTGTGATCCCAACGCAATGGAATTTCTCCATTAGTACCTCAGTTTTTACTTTCTTCCACCTTCCACCATATGTGAATGTAACCGCTGTACGTGAATGTTCAAATTTGTCAGTTAGTCCAGCCCATGTGAATCTAGATTTTCAAGAAATAAGTGAGAATAGGGAGATGGCAATATTTATTGCCTGAACATCTATTTACTTTTTCTTGAAAGGAGAATATATCGCAAAGTTAAGGGGGGTTAAAGTAGACATTAGATATGTAAAAAGATAGGTAAGCAATCTTCTTAGATAGACAATAAGTAGATAAGCAATTTAGCCAACACTGGAAAATAACAAATACTCCTCTAATGAGGGCCTACTAAATGCATTATTTCATTTAGCTCCCTCAGCAAACCCATGAGGCAGAACCTGCTTTTAGTACCATTTCATGAGTTGATGGAAACTTTGGAGAGAAGAAGCAATTTGCAAGCAATCACCTAAACTCTTAACTGATACTACTAGAATTTGGAACCAGGTCTTAGAACCAGATGTCAAAGTAAAATAAATTTAATTCAAATAACAAAACAGTATTGAGCAGTTACTATGTGCTTGACGTTGGAGAGGTTATAAATGTGATTAAGACACAGAAACACAAGCCCTTCTCTTGATGAGCTTACCTCTAACGACTGAGAGTGGATTCGAGCAGCATGAGCTCAAGTTATCATTAGAGTAAGTGCTACAACACAGATCTAACCCAAATGCTGTAGGAGCTCTGGGCCGGAAGTAGTCATTGCCTTGGAGCAGTGAGGGAAGGCTTCGAAGAGAATGGGCCAGGGAGCGGGGAAACTGGGAGGCATAACTAAAGTGAGACAAGAACAGGACACTGCAGGCCGGTTGAAAGGGCTTTGAATGGTCGTGCTAAAGACTTCTAGGAAGGCCAAGGGAAGCTGAAGGCTTTGAAGCTGGAAAATTACATGATCATATTTGGATTACACTGTGGAAAGCTGTTTAGATGGGAAAGACGCTGGAGACAAGGATTCTAGCCAGGCTTTTACTGTAACGGACCCAGACAGAGGTGCCAAGGGCCTACACAAAGGGAATGAGAGGGAAGATGTGAAGGAGGGAACGGATTTGAAAGTCACTTCAGAGTTGGGTCTTGGTAACATGCAGGATGAGGAGGGGGAAGAAGCTGATGAATCCACTCATCTTGGAAGGAAATTATTATTTTTTGCCCTAGGTCCGGGTCTGTCCTGGGCCACAAGGGTTGGCAAAGGTAAACGAGGACATCTCTGGCCCCAGGGAGCCCAGACTCTCATCTCTCAGGGGGTTTCTACTCAGGCAGCACCCAGACAGGAAAAAGAAGTGTGTGAGGTGCAGAGTGTGAGTCAGGGCAGAGCACTGGGGGCTCAGCTGCCCGGCAATGCATGTCCTGCGAAAAGGCATTTAGATTCAGAGTTGATCAAAAACAAGCAGGCTGGCCAAGCAGAGCCGGCTGGATTGGACTCTCCTCAACTAGTGATCTCTGTAATGGCTCCCAAGTTTCTACTTAGAGGAATTCAGTGGATAATTTTGGCATTAATTTGCGCAGGGAATACATGGTAAGAATCAGATTTGGGAGACTAAGGTAAGGAGTGTTACTTTTGAGATAGATTGACTCTGAGGTTCAGAAGAGGGAGGCTGGAGGGGCGCCTGGATGGCTTAGTCGGTTAAGCGTCCGACTTCGGCTCAGGTCATGATCTAACGGCTCACGGGTTAGAGCCCCACATCACACTCTCTGCCTACAGCTCAGAGCCTGAACCCTGCTTCAGATTCTGTGTCTCCCTCTCTCTCTGCCCCTCCCCCACTCTCCCCCCCCCTTTCTCTCTCTCTCTCAAAAATAAAAACATTTTTAAAAATTAAAAAAAAAAGAGGAGGGAAGCTGGAACTATGGTCCTGGGGCTCAGTGAAGAGGTTTCAGGAAAGAAGTCGGTGCCTTTGATGGCAGGATTAAGTTTCTGAAAAAGAGAGCTGCAGGTGTTTTATATTTAGATGTCTAGTCAGATGGTAATTACACCTCTTCGTAATCAGTCAAGGAAAACTTCTCAGAGAGGAAGGAAGGACTCAGAACCTCTATGAAAATTAAAAGGAAGAAAGCTCAGCAGGTTGAGAAGAGATCCTGTAGGCACAAGGGAGGAGGAGGGTGTGGGGGACAATGAAAGATGGTGGAAGGACCGTGGGACAGCCAGAGGGCACGCGAGGAAGGAAGGGAAAAGAGGGGGAGTACCGTGCCTCTGTGCTCACCCGGTTTCCCACTGCATCCATGCTTCCTGGAAGCGAGCGTCATCTGTAATGTTTTTCAGGGTGACGACTCAGATGAGGAAGATCTCTGCATCAGCAACAAATGGACTTTCCAAAGAACCAGCCGCCGGTGGTCTCGCGTGGACGACCTGCACACACTGTTCCCCGGAGGAGACAGAAATGGGTCATCGGGAGACATTAGGATGAGGAACACCACCAGCAGTGAAAGTGTCCTCACAGACCTGAGCGAGCCCGAGGTCTGCTCCATTCACAGTGAGAGCAGCGGAGGGAGTGACGGTCGCGGCCAGCCGGGCAGCCACAGCGCGGGCCGCGAGCCGTTCGACTGCCCCGGCCAGTCCTGCCCCGACAGCCCAGTCATGCTGGACGCCACGTTTGTCAGCGGCAGCCTCCCACAGTCCCCCAGAGACGTTCTCAGCTACCCCCTCCACCCAAAGAATGAGAAACCCACCAGGACCAGAGCCAAATCATTTTTGAAACGTATGGAGACACTCCGAGGGAAGGGAGCGCACGGAAGGCACAAGGGGCCGGGGCGGACCGGGGGCTTGGTGATCAGCGGGCCCGTGCTGCAACAGGAGCCAGAGGCCTTCAAGGCCATGCAGTGCGTCCCCATCCCGAACGGGGATCTCCAGAGCTCGCCCCCCGCTGCCTGCACCAGAGGGCTCCTGAGCTCCGGCAAATGGAGCGGGGAAAGCAGCCAGTCGTTAAACAGCGGTAGCGGGGTGAGCACGCCCGGCCCCAAGGAACGGAAAAGCCAGGAGGCCAACAAGCGCGGGGGCATGTACTTGGAAGACCTGGACGTGCTGGCCGGGACGGCACTGCGGGACACAGGCGACCAGAACCACGCACACGAGTTCCATTCCCAGGAGAACTTGGTCGTGCATATTCCCAAGGATCACAAACCAGGAACGTTCCCCAAGGCACTCTCTATTGAGAGCCTCTCGCCCACAGACGGTAGCAATGGGGTTAACTGGAGGACCGGTAGCATCTCCCTGGGCAGACAGCAGGGCCCTGGTGCCGGGGAGCCCAGACTCATGGCGTCCTGCCACAGAGCAAGTAGAGTCAGTATCTACGACAACGTCCCGGGCTCCCATTTGTACGCCAGCACGGGAGACCTTTTGGACTTGGAGAAAGATGACCTCTTCCCTCATTTAGATGACATCTTGCACCACGTCAATGGGCTCCAGGAGGTAGTGGATGACTGGTCAAAGAACGTCTTGCCTGAGCTGCAAACACACGACGCACTGGTTGGAGAATCTGGATTATGCCCCTTTCCATCGCCTAATCAGATCACCTTAGATTTCGAAGGCAACTCAGTCTCCGAAGGTCGGACAACACCCAGCGATGTGGACAGAGCATCTCTTAATGAGTCGGAGGCCACTGGGGTCAGGGAAAGGAGGGATTCTGGTGTAGGGGCCTCTCTGACCAGGCCAAACAGGTTGGTGGCATGATTTTCAATCCATCTCGTAATAATCATGGTGTCTTTATTTAAGAAACGTTTAAAGAGCACATACTAAATGCCTGACCCTGTTTGAGGTGATACACAGGATTAGGCTATTCGAACACAAGTATATCTTTTGTGACAAATATTATGGGGATTGAATCCGTGTCAATTCACATTCATTTCTCTGAGTGTTTATCCTTTAATTCGATCTCAGTTTTACTAAATATATATATATATATATATATATATATATATATATATACACACTGAGTATACATTGAAAGCATTATGCTAGGCACCATCAGGGATCACTGGTAAGGGAGCCCCAGGTACTTCCCGTGTCCTTGCTGCAGTATTAATTAAACAGCTCCACCTCAAATTTTAAAAGTTTGTGTGTTTTTTTAATCCTATGAGAAATTTCTGAGACGCAAGGGTGCATACTTCATAAGTTTATTTTGGCTTTAAAAAATGCCCATTACAGGGTACATTAAAGCTGTTTTACAAAGAGCATTTCAGAAGCACCCTTGAAAAATGGACCCGGAAGAGCTTAAAGCAGTAGAAACAGTAATACTGTACCTGCCGCTGGGCTCTTGTTGAGACAGACATGTGTCCTGTGGTTCCCTAATGTGTTGTCACTTCAGGAGTGCGTCTTCATCTGTGCCTGCCACCTTCAGGTTCCATCTCAACAGCAAAGGAGAGTTAGAATGCAGACAGGACGGCAGTGTGAAATGTTCTACAGTTCCGGAACATTCCACATCTCACTTTCCGTCTCGAGCTCTCTGTCTGCGTCTCTCTCCCTCCACACACACTTACACATACACCGTCTCAGCCGCTTTCAACACTTTGGGAGCAAATTTAGGAATAAACAAACAAATAAAATGTATTATGTCACTTATTTAAAACCTCCCAACAAAACAGAGAATGACCTTTTCCATTATCAGACTTGAAAAAAAAAAAAGTTTCTTATGTTCATTCTGTACATTGGCACCTCCTGTTCCATTTGCTTTGTGATTTTCTTGGCTCGAAAACTATTTTGATTAGCTACTTAAAAATTAGTAACATCCTGTGTTTTCCAATGACATATCCACTTTGTGACTGGCTTCTCTGACGGTCTTTCCGGTAAAGGCGACTCCGATGGAATAGTTTCCAGCTCTCGCACCAGCCTCAGCCGTCCACGGCACCCCACATCAGCAACCAGACAGCCGGCCAGCTGAACCTGCTCCAGCGTTTCTCACTGCTTCGCCTCACGGCCATCATGGAGAAGTACTCCCTGTCCAATAAACACGGCTGGACGTGGTGCGTAGTGTGGTCACTTAGGAGGGGATCGTTTGTTCGGGAGCTAAGTACACAGTTGCCAAAGCTTCAGTATTTAAGTTCTGCTTTCTGAAGAAGCCATTCATTCCGATCTCCTGGAAATCATGCTGGAGCTCTGCCTTACTGTCTGCCTTCTGTGCTGCCGCAGCGGGGACGTGATGTCGCCTGCAGGAAGCATTGCTTTATCTGTAGCTCTCTTGTTAGTTTCCAGGGAAAGCAGTCAGGCTCCAAGAAGGAAACAAAGACCAGCAAATGGTGATTAATAGTGAACAGAGGAATTAAAAATCAACTGGCCATAAAATAATTCTGGCAGCTTGCAAAGAAACAGCTGTCACTCGTACCTTCTGGAGCAGGGCAGAGCTCAACACTTAGAGCGTTGATTCATTCAAAGAGCATTTGATTCTTCAACTACATTTCTGCGTTTACCACACTGGCAAATAAGAACAAGAATATGCAGTAAACCTTTATAGTAAGGAATTGACAAAAGCGTGTGTTGAAACCTTAAGTAAGTCCCTATTTTAGATGAGCTGATGGATTTGAAAAAATATAAAATACGTCATTAATCGTCTTATGTTATATATTATGTATAGAGAAGAATCGAAAGTGCCTTTATAAAAATATTTTAGGAAGTTATAAATTGCAGAGTCAAATCAATATATGCTTGTATTAAAATTTCCTTTAAAAAGTTCGACCGGTTCTAGAAAAGTAAGAACGTAGCCAAGAAGTGCTTCATCATCTCTCCCCTCCTTTCTCCTCCAAACACAACTAAATTTCTTCTTCTCGTAGTTTTTAAATTTCTTCTGTCTTACTGGGGACAGTAAGTGTCATTCACAATTAAACTGGAAGGTTGTCCACTTGACTTGAAAACAGAGCCATAAATCCATCCCGCTAACATGAATCATGCTGTTTAATAGTTAGACATCTAACATAGGCAAGGGGCACACACAGTATTTCCATGTAATGTGATTCATTAAGGGAGAGATGTTGAATTCCCCCTGTGTCTGTTGGTTGTTCCAACACAAGCTTGGCTTCCCTCTTGCTTGCTTTCACAGCCTCTCCCCACAGGCTGCCCCAAGAGGCTCGCGTGACCTGGTTTCTGTGAATTCTAGGTCAGTTCCAAAGTTCATGAAGAGGATGAAAGTTCCTGATTACAAAGACAAGACTGTCTTTGGTGTTCCCCTCATAGTTCACGTGCAGAGAACGGGACAGCCCCTGCCTCAGAGTATTCAGCAAGCACTCAGATACCTGCGTAGCAACTGCCTCGATCAGGTATGGTTGGACATCCCAAACACAGGCGTGCATGTATGGAATGCCGGACCAAGTCCGATCCCTCCAGTATCAGATAAGACGTGCCTCACCAAAAAGAAAAGGCACTGTGATCTTTATATGTCAGCATTGAATTTGACCATGTTACATCCTTATCAAGCTATTTGAAGGTATTTCCTCACTGGCAACTTGAATGAGGTCCTGAGTGAAAATTCATGTTAATAGCTTCTACCTGTGCTGGCAAATTTACATTCCCCAGAAACTGGGAGTTATGCTTTACACTGCATTTCCTTTTAATTATTGGCCCACTGCCACCACTGTTTTCACAGCATGGTTTCATCCCTTTTCATCATTCTTTCAGCACCATGACCAGGAAAACTTAAACCAAAGATGAATTAATTTATATCTTTTTAAATGTGCAAGTAAATGTTGAAAATGATGTCAGCTAAGTCAAATATCCCCTCATCCTGTAGAGTTGATTAAAATGCTAAATAAAATATTCAGAGATCGATTTCTGTCTCCAGGACTGTTTGGGAACCACCATAATGGTGGCCTATGATTGGACCCAGAGTGCATTCCAGTCTGTAATTTACTAGGCCAACCCATTGCTCCTCCAAACTAATACCCATTAGTTTCTTAAATATCCTGCCCCCCAAAAGAGCCATATTCCCACTTGATAAATTACACCCTTGAGTAGTGGGGGTATTTTCAGGTAAGTCTTCTACAGTGGCTTTTGTGCATCATACCCTTTAATACCATGTGAATAATCCATGCCCACCTAAGATTATTTGCACCTTTTAATGATTTACCCTTGGCCTTGGCCTCAGTGAATAGGAATGAGCTGAGCTACATGAACTCACAGATCCTGGCTACTTATGCTTGTATCTACCCCAAAACTGAGATCACAGTCAGAATCAGGATGGTCTCTTGATGAATCAGATACCACTTTTCAATGGAGCTAATAGAATAGGAGTAACTTCTTCATATGATGCATGATCCCCTTTTTGCCTCCCCACTCCTAATTTAGAGAATATACAAGTACACATTTCTTCCATTTATTTCGATGGCATAGTGGAGGGCAGGAGTGGCTGCTGTTACTGTCATGGTGAGGACTATTGTGTTTTGAGAAATGGCTTTAGTAGCTTCCCTGTTATTTCTCAGAAAGAAGGGAAACAGACCACTTTTCTATAACTGTGGTGCTCAGCAGATACCCCAGCATTAACTGACTTGTGAATAACATCTGAATAGAGCAAACCAATGAATCCAGTTACTTAAGCATTATTATTATTTTTTTTAATTTTAGAGCTTTTACCAAAACTGCACACCAATCAATGGTGGATCATCTATGAATATCACAAAACCCAAGATTGTGTTTTGTGGAGGGTAACCTTTTTTTCAGACACCTGTTTTTCCAAGCTTCTCAGTTTTCCTGAGGGTTTACGAGATGTGTCCCTCCTCTTGGCTAATTTCCTTAGAGTTTTTGGCTCTGCCTTTTCCCAAGAACAAAAAATATTTTGTTCTAGACATTCTAATGCGTGGCCAGTGAATGCTTCTCAGCAAAAGCTCTATCAAGGGAAAACAGTGTTTGTTCAGGAATACCTAAAGCAAATGCAATCCATCTATGCAATTGGCTCAATAATAGTAACATTTCTTGATGCCCAGCATGTTCTCAGCATCGTACTGAGTGTTTTACATTCACTGCCTCATTTAATGCCATATCCACCCTGGGTGGGGTTGTCCCCCAGGTGGCAATGGTGGAGCCAACACTCGCTTGAAAAGCCAACTCCAGAGTCCAGGTTTTTAAAAACTCCACTCTGCTGTCACCTGTTAGAATTGCTTGTCCCAGTGGATCTAGGGTGATGCCATCTCCAGCATCAAGGGACGCTTTGAGAAATAGCCCTAAACAACTCATTGATGAATGCATCATACCCTTTGTGCATCATACCCTTTGTTTGTTGATGATGTTGGTTATTACATGAGGTGGTAGCCTTTCTGTGATAATGGAAGAATCTTTTTCCGGCCCCAACACCTGAAAGCATTGTGTTTCTTTTGGATGATGAGTCTGTTTGTTTAGCTTTTTTAATATTAAAAACAACTGGGTATTTTTTCCTCTCTATATTAGCTGCTAGAATGATTGGAGCCAAATGTATATTCTGCCTGTAGTAAATATACGTAAATATTTGGCATGAATTTTGTACGTCCACCTCATTTCTGGCTGCCCTTTTCATCTTTATTTTCCTTTTGCTCAAATTTTCTTATCTTTTATCTTCAATTTAATTGTATCTTATACATTTTAGAGATCATTATAGGTCACCTTGAATTCTTTCTTGAACAAAGTTGGATGGGAGTAAATGAATTACACTACCACTGTTCTACTCACTCCTTTAGTGTAGACTGGAAACCACTCAGGACCCCTGTAGATTCTGAATCATGGACGGCATCAGTAAGACCACTGTTACTGGGTCTAGTCTCCTATCTGAAGGAAAAGTCATACAAATCGAAAGAAGGATGGTGGGCACCAAAATCTCCTCAATCCTGGCTCACTGGCTTATTCCCGGTCTCCATATCAAGCCTCTAACTGTGTTTTAAATCTGGAAGAATGCCTTACTGAGAAAACCGTGTGCTGGCAAACCATTGTGGGCAAAAGACTGATTTCGAGGACATAAATACCGATTATAAATGTAACCAAAATGAATGAGGCAACCCTCTCTTGTATCAGTCAAAAGTAAGAATCCATAAAATGTCAACGGGACTTTCCCCAGAGCCAGTTAGGACTTCATGAAGCCCTCCACACCTGCAGAGCTCCCACCTTGTAAGTCCCTCCCCTTCACCATCACAGAGTGTGGAAAGCACACAGAGACACCCCCCCCCCCCACTCTGGTCCCGGTGAAGAAGGAAAGTGGCAATAACAAGGGCACAAGGGAAAACCAGACAAACACATGGAAAATTAAAACCAGGCTTAAAAGGAAGACTATTCTAGAGACTCTAAGAGCAAACAAAAGCACATAAAAGTGAATGAATCAGTAAAGAAAGAGGGGACAAGAGTAAGAGGGAAGGAACATGCATCACTCTAGACTGTTCCTTCTTCACCAGTAGCACCTCCTTAGAACTGAAAAGTTTTAGGTCTGCACAGGATCTTGAGATCTCAGCCCCTGAGTCATAGGAAACCAGAGCATCCAGAACATCCTTTCTCTTCTCATTCTTTCTGGCTTCTGTGCTGCCTCCCTTCACATGGTTCCCTTGAACCACCATCCAAGACTCTCCCAAGGCTTTGCCCCGGACCCCGGGGAAGGAGGCTTCCTACCATGAGCTAGACCCTTTTCCTCATGCTAAGCATTCACCTCAAACATAAGCATTCATCACCAACAGTTGAGCGCAGCCCCCCAGGGCCCTGAAACATTGCCAACATTTCCCCTCCTACACTCCCAACTGCAGAACAGTTTATAGATGATGAAACACAGTGTATCCATTTTCACCCTTGCAGCTGGCCGTAGATGAAATAAGGAAGTTCAGCCTTCAATTATGAACCATTTGTATTCAGATATAGCAGTGTGTGAGAGGAGCCTTGCTTTGTTGGCTGAGCTTTTATTTCTGCCCTAAATCAGTGGCGCACAGAAGCACAGGTTATGCCCATCCTGATGAATGTGAAGCCACCACAGGGAGAGGAGAGGCAAAGCCTGCAGTGCTCAGAATCAGAACCCGCCCCTCCTCCCTTCCCTGCACCCCCACACCCTGTACTTAGGAACCTTTCTCTTTCTGCATAAAACCAACCTTTCTTCATTAGCTGAGCACATTTCTGAAGAAGAGGAAATGGAAGTCCTGATAAACATCATTAAGTATTGAATGGATTAGCATAAAAAGGATGCCAAGTAGGAGATTTAATGTTATTTAGATGAAATTTGAATTCTAATGCAGCACTCATGCCCGACCTCTCATTCTAATGGAACAGTAAGTTTTAGAAGCCCAATTATTCTGGGAAGACACTTCCTACTCAGTGCAGGTGCCCTGTACGCGCTGCCTGTTCATCATGGTCCTGCTGTCTACCTCAGATGACATAAATGATGCTCTGGGGCCTCTCTAGGTTATACTTTGAGTCTGCTTTTTCACAGCTGGGATTTTAGGTGGAAGACAAAAGAGAGGAAAGTAAAACTGGACCAAGGGAACGCTCGCCACTCACCCTTTTACTTGTGAAAGGAGAGATCACATGCAAGATGCTTGTGAAATGAACTCTGCATTGCTGACCACTAGTCTTCCCGTCTTGGAGAGGGTGTTGGAGCCGTGCTTTAGCGGCACACAAGAACGGGACCTGCTGTGGAGCCCGCAAGGCCTCGTGCGAAATGAAAACTTGAGCTTCTTTGTTCATAACTTATTAAGAATTTCAAGATGGTGACAGCAGAGAATGAAACCAAGCATGGGGCCCTGTGTGACTACCAGCAGTGACAGGCGCAGAGGCAAATGAAAGACATTTCACACTCTTTGGGTCTTCCTCATAATGAAGCTGAGGGATCTGGGGCAGCCTCCCATCCACAGTGATGACAAGGCTGCCCTTAGAAGCAACAGCTTTAACATGGTTTCTTCGGTTCTCTGTTTTCACTCGGGAAAAAAAAAAAAAAATTTTTTTTTCACCAGAAGTGCAAATTTCATCACTCCTCTGAAAACTTTTCAAAGAAATGATTATTGCCAGTCACTCACACCAGCCGCCATGGTTACTTAATGAATGTAGGTGGACTTCTCCTTATTCTCAGGGTCTCTACACCATCAGAAGAATCTTCTAGTCACTGTGTCCTGGGAATTTTCCACTGCAAGGAACAGAAGAAGACAGTCCCAAAATGGCGCACCCAATAGGAAATTCACGAGCTCCTGTAACAAGAAGTCAGGAAGTAGGGTGGCTCCAAGGTTAGTTTTTTCATCAGCGTAGGGCTAAGGTTGAAGACAGGGGTTTCTTTCTGCCTTTCCCTTCTGCCATCCTGAGCTACTACATCTGGAATCTGGTCTGAGTTCAGACCACCTTTTCCTTATTAAGTTTAGGAAAGAAATTTCCTTCTGTGCTTCCAACAAAAATCCACAGATCCCACAGATATTTCCCACATCCCTGGAAGATAAGGGTGGGACGGGAAGGTTATTGTCAGAATTTGAGGCAGAACAAATAAATACCTGACTGCCCTCTGGACATCCTGTGAGATCTAAGTCAGAACAAGCAGCTGAGAGCCCGCAGCTGGAGAGCTCCAGACATGTCTAAAATAATTAAAATAACAATATTTGCTGAAACTAGAAAGAAACTTGGAAACGGAACAATACGAGGAAAACATTGCCGGGATGTGTTTGTACATGCACGTCGGTACTCACCCAGAGATGAAGCCAGCAAGACTCGGGATGCTCGTAATTTACCCACAAACACCTATCTGCTCTATTCTTGATAGATTCCAATCAATAGTCCTCTGCTGCTAAGAAAATAACAGAATTCTCAGGCGGAATAATACCAACTCACAGGAGGATAAATGTTTGTGAGTCATACTTCACGATTCACCCTCCAGGCACTTCGATTCTGAGAACTCCCGTGGAGCACAGCCCCGTGGCACCGTCCTGGGCCTCCTTCCAGAACTAGAGAAGTCGAGAATGTAACCAGGCTGAGGATGGACCTCACTTTAGTAATCGTTCATCTGACACCTTGAATTTCTCTTTCGACAGTACGTGCTTTCTTCTCATGCGCTTTGATGAAGTTTGGAGCAGTTGCCAGAGGATGATAAATGTCCTTTGCATTCTTGAAGCAGTCATCTAAGTGCGGCGAAGTTTTGCATTTTCTAGACATTCCAAACTTTAAGAAATAAAAAAGAAAGCAATTAATGTTTTCAGTGACAATATGCCTGAATATTCCTGATCTGTGGAATTAGGGTGCTAAGCCTGGGAATGCAAAAAAAAGTGTTACTAAGGATTCGGTTCTTATTGCCACAAAACGTAGCAGCGTATGATGTCCTCTGCGATCCATTCCGCTGGCGTGTACAAAACCTGAGTATTCTCTCATCGCTCAGACTTCTCCCCTTGCTGTCACTGTACTTTAAAGGAATTAGGACAGCTCTCCATTTAGAGCAATAACCAGGAGAGCTTTCCTCAGACACCTGAACTTGAGTCAAGCCTGGCCTGGCACACGGAGCAGCCTCTGACATGGCCTGAAAGTTTCCCCAGGCTCAGGGAGGAGGAGCCATGGCTGACCGGTGTGCGGCTGCTTACCTGTCTGACCACGCAAAATCTCCCCACCTTTTTGGAAGTGAGCCAACCTGTGAGCCCTTCAGGAGTGAGAAGAGTAGAGATTGAGGGTTGAATGAACGACCGAGTTTGAGCAACTCCGGGCCCTACAGGCACTTAAAAATAGCTGACATGCTGGGGCACCTGGGGGGCTCAGTCGGTTAAGCGTCTTGATTTCGGCTCCGGTCGTGATCTCATGGTTTGTGGCATCCAGTCCCCCATTGGACTTTGTGCTGACAGCACAGAGCCTCCTTGGGATCTTCTCTCTCCTTCTCTCTCTGCCCCTCCCCTGCTCACATGCACGCAAGCACACACTCTCTTTCTCTCTCAAAATAAATAAATGAACGTTAAAAAAAAAAAAAAATAGCAGACATGCAAATTCACTGTAAACCAGGGGTCCCAGAGAAATTCAGTCGTTTCTTGGGTAGAGGCAAGTCCAGAGTGCAGAGCCTCTTGAGGGGCCAAGAGTGTAACCTGCCGACCCTGGCAGGAATCTCCATTCTCCTGGGGCTCTGCTCCACCTCAACTCATTCCTATTAGGAGCATTATCTCCTTGGTTCCTTACTGCTCCATTTCTCCATTTACATGTCAAAGAGAAGAGGAATCTAAGCCCTACATAAGACAATGCCTTAAAGTGAAAAAAATGCCACCCAGGGATCCTCACTAGAGCCACAGCTTATGCACATAATAACTAACCAGGTAGAATAATGGGTGCCAAGCATCATATGAGAAACCTACATAGGGAGGATTACAGGGGTTCCAAAGGAGAACAAGAAATAAGACCCTTAAATCAAAATACATGTTTGTGGTATTATTTTGTCTCATGAGCATATTCCCGATGAACTTCTCCCCCAAAGGTGCACTGCTTGCTTATCTGGGACCCACCAAACCTTCCATTGACCAAACTTTTTCAAAACCCCCCACTGAAGTGTCAACCCCAGACGGCAGGGAATTTTGTCTGGTCTGCTCTGCTCACTAATGGCTCCTAGCAACTGTAAATATGCCTGCGATAGGGTGGTATTTAATCATTGCTTGTTGGGTAAGTGAATGCCATGATAGCATCTAGTGTGTTAGAAGGCTACAGGTTACAAAACACTGTCATGCACATTTTGTCATTTAGTCTCCACGAACGCCCTGTGGGGTAGAGCATTATTCTTATCTTTATTTTATGGGAGAGGAAGTCAGCGTTCAAGTACTGCCCAAAGTAACTAAACTCGTCATTCACGGTTTTACCAGTTCGGAAGCAATTGCTGCTCATTCTGGTCCTGGTTCCACGCCCTCTCATCACTCCCAGGTTGCTTGCTTTAGGAAGAGAATGACTGGGGCCAGGGCCGCCTCGCTAACACGTCCCTGTGACTTGTTTCAGGTGGGTCTTTTTCGAAAATCGGGCGTGAAATCTCGAATCCATGCATTACGTCAGATGAACGAGAGCTTCCCTGAGAATGTCAGCTATGAGGACCAATCTGCTTATGATGTGGCGGATATGGTAAAACAGTTCTTCCGGGACCTCCCGGAGCCTCTTTTCACCAACAAGCTCAGCGAGACCTTCCTCCACATCTATCAGTGTAAGTGGAAGCCATGCAGACCACTGTTCTCATGCACACGCATCCACGTAAAAACATTCTGCAGACTGAGTGCTTGTTGTACAAGTAATACATAAATCCATAAAGAAATATATGAAAGTTATCATTCTACACTTCTTTCCAAAAGTAAACTTTGTTCACAGTTTGATATGGAAATCTCCAGGCCATATTTTACGGGTCTGAAAATACCTTTTTGACATCAAAGTTTTCCTTCTCAGTAGGGTTTTGCATAAGATCTAAAACTAACTTTCAATGTACTTTTAATAACTTTAAAATGCAAAGGGGACACAATGGAATTTATTTGGTATATAAATGTTTTTATAAACTTACTTAATTTTGGAGGTGCCTGGGTGGCTCAGTCGGGCTAATCATCCAACCCTTGATTTCGAATCAGGTCATGAACTCACCGTTCATGAATTTGGGCTCTGCATCAGGCTCTGCCCTGACAGCATAGAGTCTGCTTGGGATTCTCTCTCCCTCCCTCTCTGCCCTTCCCCGCTCATGCTTTCTCTCTCAAAATAAATGAATAGCATTAAAAAATATATTTTATCTTTTTAAAATAAACATTTCCTTGGGATATATGAGACTCAAAGCCAAATGACCAGAAATAAGAAGCAAATGTATCTTAATACAATGTATTTTAATTGGTGAAAAGTAAACAAACCAAATGAAGCTTAGGCCTAATTCAAGTAAGTAATGTTTTCACTTGCAATTTTTTAAGTGATGCTAAATTGGCAATTCTCAGCAAAGCCCCAATAATTAAGATAACCATTGAATAAAAAATTTTTTATTCTTCTGAAGGTAGCATATCCTTCTGAAGGTAGCAGCAAAGGGGGGATATTAGAAATGAACACATGACTCTTTTCTAGATGCAATAATATTATGATTGTAAATTATTTTAGTGGTCCAAGTCCCAATACTTTAGGAAAAAAAATATTTGGCTGTGGACTTTGAGTGTTCAGCAAAATATACCTGAACTGGGACTCAACATGGAATTAATCCAATTTGAAGAAGATCCCTGCTATAGAGAATTCTGAGCTAAATGTGTTTCAGGAGCCTACGATAGTGCAAATCCAAAAGGGATTATAATAAATACCACTTGTAAAAACAGGATAAAGTGATGACCCACTAAATAAATATTATTTTGTCAAAGTGAATAAGTTAAGTTAAATTAATGGTACATGTTGTGTGAGCCCAAACACAGAGAGTTTATGATTTTGTTGCCATAAGAGATTGAGCTGCCATGAAGCCTCCCTCATGGTTTGGAACTATCATATATGATTCTTTACATTTAATCAGTTCTCAGGTTAGGGTTGACACTAGTCTAAGGTTAAAGCCAGATGATTTCCAAGAGATAAATCCCTTTGGCCCCTTCTGAGACTCACCAGCAAGAAACTGGATCAAAGCAGGGTTTATTTTAGCTGAGCAAACATTTGCCAAGTTCCTCTTATGCACAGGACACTGTGCTGAGTGCTACAGATGATATGGATGGGTAAGACCTACTCTCTGCTCTTAAGGATCTTACAACTGAGGGACACGAGACATATAAATAACTGCCGTGCAGCAAGATTGGAGAAATTCCACAGTAAGCTTACAAAGAAAACCCAAGGAGGTTGAGATGAGGAATCGAACTTGGTTCCACAACGGAAGGTTGGGCTATGGAAGAAACACTTGTCGAGTTATACAAATAGCATGAGCACGTGTCAGGGAATTACAAGGTATTCATCTGGCTGGCATGAGTGGTAACTGTACGATGTAGGACCACTGACACTGAAAAATTAGACTGGGTCCATACCAAGAAAGGGCATTGAATATCAGGGCAAAGAGTTCATACTTGATTCGTTAAGCATTGAGGAACCAACCCTTGGGTGTTGTTGAGGGAGTTACCAGTTAGAATGCTCTTGGCTATAAAGACAGAACCAGAAATCCAGCAAATAGCTTAAACAATAAAAAAAAAAAATCATACAATCGCACATGACAAGAAATCTGGAATTCTATAATTCCAGAGTCGGTTAACTTCACAGCTCAGTGATGCCAGGCTTGAAGTCGGCCTCTCTTGGTTATCCCCTGAAGGTCACAACTTAGAATTATGATTACCACAACTTATAATTATCATGTCTTCCCCAAATCACATTCAAAGTCAAGAAGAGAGCAGAAGGGCTTCTCCTTGGGCAAATGTCTCTTTTTATCAGGGAGATACATTTACAAAAGTTCCTAGCATTGATGTTGGTCCCATAGGCCAGAAATTATTTATACCTTCTCCCTTCAATCAGTCACTGGAAAGAGAAGGATTACCATTTGGGAGTTAGGCCAGCATGGTTATTCCCTAGTCCGCAGGAAGGACCCACCTTCCCTGAGCATATTGCAGCCCGCACCTGAACAGAAAGTGTGTTTTCTTGTAGAGGATGAAAGAGGGAGTAGATGTTGAATAGGCATCCATGTTTGTGTCTGCCACAAGGGTAAATATCCATCAGAACTGCTTTTGTGACCCATGAATGTAGAAGTGGTGAACAAGAGATATTGGACTGTCCAGGGACCGGGGGTTAGTGGGTGAGCTAACACAGTAAGTGAAGCACTGGGTTACCTGCCGTGACTTCCAGCAGTGAGACTGGAAATTCAGTGTTCTGTGGATAGACTCTAGAGTCAAAGAGAGGGACCGTTCTTCCTCCCCTTTTCCAGGGCAGTTTTAATGTTAGCTATGTTACTTCTTGGACTTTCATTAAATGATTAATTGGCGTTTGGATGGATAATGAAAATATTTGAAACCCACTGGTCTACAGGAGGGAGAAAGATAGAGGGATCAGAGACTACTCTGTAGTCCTAACATTTGGTGACTGGGAGAATATGGAAAAGAAGAGGGGAAGGAGAGCTGGTTTGAGAGCAGGGAGAGGAGAGGTGTTCAGAATCAACTGCACATTGAATTTGAGATGCCGATAGCCATCCACTTTGTTGCCATTATCAACATTTAGATATGCAGGTCTAGAGTACTCTCCTGAGAGCTGAGAAAGAGGCAGGAGCCACACGAGTGCCGAATGTAACACAACAGTCAAAGAGGATAGGATTCAAAATGAATGCTGAATTTAGGGATTAATAGTTGACCTTCACAACAATTTTTATAGAAAATAATAGAAGATCCTTTCTGACAGATAAAGGGAAAAGTGACTAGAGAGAAAGTTAAGACAACATGTAGCCATGACAGATGACTCTTACAAATTTTGTTGTGGAATATTGGCGATCTGAAGTTAAACAATGTACACACTAGACATCTTAGCCAAAGCAGCATATTTAAAAGCAGTTCGATGGCTCAGCTGAATTTATAACACTTCAGTGACAAGCCTGAAGCATCTGCTTCTGTTTCAGCACAAGCAAGAAAAAAGAAAAAGGTTCTGCTATAATTTGAACAAAATGGCTCTTTTCTACTAAACCCCTGGCTGTCTTGTGCCACTACACAGTGGACGTAGCAGGGGTAGAGATGGTTTCTAAAACATTGACTGTACATCAGGCTTTTCCAGAAATGTGGGTTTGCTGCGTGACTGGGGTCCAGAGGGTACCCGGCCCTGGGATGTACAATGATGGAGAGGATCCAGACCCGGGATGAAGGTCACACCACAGGCCCTCTGAAGCAGCAGGTTCCAATGTTTTTTATCATGTACCCCTACCACTAGTAAATATCTGAGCATGTATACTTATTTTTCATAATAGAAATATACTGTGATATACTATGACAAACATTATAAAACGTACCCAGTCAGTATTTTTAAAGCATGAGAGAAAACATAAACACCATTGAAAATCCTGATATTTTCTTCTCTCATGGCAAGGATTATCACAAGTGCATTTCCTCCACCCCTTCAGAGGACAGACACCCCACTGCAGACACCTGTTCTAGAACATGGTATTTTAAGAAAGACCATGTAACCAGAGTGAATTCTTGACCGGGTCTTTCAGAGTCAGAGGTATAAGGGCATTGAGTCAGACCTAAAAGATCAGTAATGAACACAGCCAGGGGGCAGCATAATGTAGTGCCTAGCAGCCGTTTGCTGGGATTTTCCCTTTTGGTTCACATCACCTATTTGGGGCCCGCACCCTTCTGGACCTGCATGGCCAGCACCCACCACCACCACCCCACACGGACCACCCCGAAGGAGAGTGGCCCGACACGGCCAGACCCTCCCCATCACCCTAGTGAACCTGGATCCTCTTCCCCAAGTACAACCTCAACTTCCATACTCCCCAAAACTCTGAAATGCGTGACACTAGGTCACCGCATGAAGCAACAGGACACTCCCTCTGCACCAAGCCCTGGGGGACTTGTAGGAGAAAGGAAGGTGTGTCCGGCTGACCCTCAAGGAGCCGAGCCTCTAGGAGTCATTCGAGAGGGCCAGCCAGCTCCGTCCCACCACTCGTGGTTAATTGCGCCAAGCTGGCATCGAGGCCCGGCTCCTCTGCTAGAGGTGGGGAAAGGCGAGGCCACCGTCCCCTAACACAGTGGTGTCCAAACACGTGCCCCGGAGCCCTGGGCCTCCTGAGAGGTGCTTCCCAAGCTATCTGGTGGGAGGGTGGACATAAGGGAGGCCAGGCTGACTGTGCCCCGGCCAGCCGCCAGCTGCAGTCAGAGCAGAAAAACACTTTGCAAACGGCTGAGCAGGTGGCTAGCTCAGAGACCGTGAAAGGCCAGGACGGGGCCGTTCCTTGCCAAACAGTGTTTCTTGTTAAGGCAGCAGGTCCGGAGCTGGACTACTTGGGTTCCAGTCCCAGCTCTGCCTCTCAGCAGCTGTGAGGCCTAAGCGGTGACTTACTTCTTTGTGCCGTTAGTGGCTGTCGCCATGGTAGTCGGTGATGGTCATATCTCTGAGGGGGTCTGCACACCGGGAAGGTGGAGCTTCCTCACGGGCCCCCAGCTGGCTCCTCCCGTGGCTGTTCCTCTAATGACCCGGCACCCGCCTTTCTGCAGATGTCCCCAAGGAGCAGCGGCTGCAAGCGGTGCAGGCGGCCGTCCTGTTGCTGGCCGACGAAAGCAGGGAGGTCCTGCAGACGCTGCTGTGCTTCCTGAGTGACGTGGTCAACTCGGTGGAAGAGAATCAGATGACACCCATGAACCTGGCTGTGTGTCTGGCCCCCTCCCTCTTTCATCTTAATTTACTCAAGAAAGAAAGCTCCCCCAGGTGGGTTTTTCTCATCAACAGCCATAATCCTTCGATGTTCCCCATAGTTCATTAAACGAACAAACAAACAAAAAACACTTCTAGTATTGTACTTCAGTTTGGGGATTTGTCAGCATTTAGTTTATTATAATCAGAAAATGTTTCAAGGGGCCCCTGGGTGGCGGAGTCAGTTAAGCATCCGACTCTTGGTTTCGGCTCAGGTCACAACCTCACAGTTTGTGAGTTCAAGCCCTGCATGGGGCTCTACGCTCACAGCATGGAGCCTGCTTGGGATTCTCTGTCTCCCTCTCTCTCTCTCTTCCCCTCCCCTGCTCGTTCTCTCTCTCTCTTTCTCTGAATAAATAAACTTTAAGAAAAAGAAAGAAAATGTTTCAAGGTGAGCTAATTCATGTGCTCAGATATAAAACCAAGTAGTACTGAAGGATGGCCATTGCCATCCAGAAAGCCTGAGGCATTGTGTTCTGGTGTGTATGTAGTGTGTGGGTGGGAAAGAAGTCATATTTACAATCTTTTATGAAAAAAGCAGGACTTAAGACCTGAGAACAGCAGCCTGTAAAGACATGGTTTCAAATTTGGGAAAAAATAGACAAATTTCTCCCCCAGCAGTTACTCCTGCCCTTGTATTTTTCCAAGGTTTTTCATTGTGAGCTGTCAGACTCTTCCCCTGACTCAGAATGTCTGTGTGGTCATTGTTTTTATTTGGAAATGAGAAAGTCTGGGATCTGGATTAGCATCTTGGACATGAACCGAAAACAAAAGGGACAAGCTCTGGATTGCGAAAAGCTCTTGGGTTTGGGATCCGCTTACAGCTCTGTCCTTCAATTATAGAGTCATACAGAAGAAATATGCCACCGGGAAGCCAGATCAAAAGGACCTCAGTGAGAACCTGGCCGCGGCTCAGGGGCTTGCCCACATGATCACAGAATGCGACAGACTGTTTGAGGTGAGTAACCGCTTCCAGCAGCCTTCCTCATAGCTCTTGGAGCCAGAGAAGATGCTCGGAACCGTTGCTGCATTTGCGGCTTATATGTGTTTGTTCCTGATTTTATAATGACAATAGTACACAACGTAGCTCTGGTCGTTGCTCCCAAGAAGCATGAGGAGCTCTGTACCACTGAGGCCCTGACAGTTAGACACCTGGGGCTACCGTGATGATGATTTTCAAGAAAACGGTTCCATTGCCCTCCAGTGCCAGCTTCAAGGCCAGCCAGCCAATTATGTTGGATGTGTTAACTTGGACCTGATTAGGTTCAACATCTGCGTAACCCTCTTGTTTCTGTGAACCAAGAATCAATGACAGGCTCTGAGTGTACCCACAGATGTGTTTAAGAAGTTATTGAAGTAGACTGCTGGCATACTTTTTGTGGTGGAATTGGCATCTGTAAATGGGAAAAGTGTGCTAAAAAGGTAAAGCTATTTCTGACTCATATTTGATGTTTCTCTTAAGTCTATGTGCTTTAAGTTTCCTGAGCCCACATTTTGCCAAACCAAAGAAAAATACGTTAAAAGGAAAACGGAAAGAATGAATGGGAAGTCATTGCAATGTTTTGGATAATAACTGTAGTCTCAGAAACATATTTGCTTTTCCTGACTTTAGGAAACTCTCCCACCCCAGCCTTGCCACTGATCTTGGGAAACTATCCCCATGGCGCTAGGCCCGTTGCCCACACTGTGGGTTTTGACAAAATTACTTTGCTTTCTCTAACTATTAGTTTCAGCATTTCTTTAGCTCAGTATGTTGCTTTTGTGTGCATCCGTTGATTCAGGTCCCACATGAGTTGGTAGCCCAGTCCCATAACTCATACGTGGAGGCTGAGATCCACGCTCCAACTCTAGAAGACCTGGGGTCCCAGCTGGAGGAGAGCGGAGCAACTTTCCATATGTACCTGGAACATCTCGTCCAGGGGCTCCAGAAAGAAGCCAAGGAGAAGTTCAAAGGCTGGGTCACGTGCTCCAGCACAGACAATACAGATCTTGCTTTCAAAAAGGTAATCTCAGGGTTGTAACAAAATTACCCCCATGTCTAACAAGCAGGGATTTGTTTTGCTTTAAAAATGGCCACTCTCTGGGGCGCCTGGGTGGCGCAGTCGGTTAAGCGTCCGACTTCAGCCAGGTCACGATCTCGCGGTCCGTGAGTTCGAGCCCCGCGTCGGGCTCTGGGCTGATGGCTCGGAGCCTGGAGCCTGTTTCCGATTCTGTGTCTCCCTCTCTCTCTGCCCTTCCCCCATTCATGCTCTGTCTCTCTCTGTCCCAAAAATAAATAAAAAACGTTGAAAAAAAAAATTTAAAAAAAAAAAAAAAAAATTAAAAAAAAAAAAAAAAAATGGCCACTCTCAGGCGCCTAGGTGGCTCAGTCAGTTAAGCGTCTGACTTCGGCTCAGGTCGTGATCTCGTGGTCCGTGAGTTCAAGCCCCGCGTCGGGCTCTGTGCTGACAGCTCAGAGCCTGGAACCTGTTTCAGATTCTGTGTCTCCCTCTGTCTCTGACCCTCTCCCGTTCATGCTCTGTCTCTCTCTGTCTCAAAAATCAATAAACGTTAAAAAAAAATTTTTTTTTTAATAAATAAATAAAAATGGCCACTCTCTGGGGCACCTAGGGGCTCTGAGTGTCCAATTCTTGGTTTCTGCTCAGGTCATGAACACAGAGTCTTAGGATAAAGCCCCATGTTAGGCAGACACTGAGTGTGGAGCCTGTTTAAAATTCTCTCTCTTTCTCTCCCCCTGCCCCTTTCCCCTACTAGCATTCTCTCTCTCACTCTTAAATTTAAAAAAAAAAAAAAGGCCACTCTGTCCATGGGGCTTGGCACACACACAAACAGGTCAAAGATCCACTCTAGAGACCAAGCAGTCCCTGGTGCATGTAATCAGAGTACAGAGTACCAATCTTATCCTTGTCCTTTAGCTGTGTGACATTGGGCAAGTCACATGCCTCTCTGTGCCTGGTTTTTCATTTGCATAATGGACATAATCCTACCACTGTTGGAGGAGGGCTATTTAAAAATCAAATGGGTTAGAATCTTTCCTGGCACACAGTAAATACCGTGTGTGTTGATGGAGATTATTTGTACGATCACTGTTATTTTTCTTCTAAGCTTAAAGATTAACATCTTAACGTCTTAAACCTGAGCTATGCAGAATCACTTCCCAGTGACCTAACCAGTGATGTTTTTTGAGCGCCCAGTGAAGTATGGTAGGTTTTCGTTGGAACTAGTTGGCCCCTTCAGCCTTCGATGGTGTCTTTCCCAAGGTGGGGGACGGGCATCCGCTGAAGCTATGGAAGGCCTCTGCGGAGGTCGAAGCGCCCCCCTCGGTGGTTCTGAATCGTGTGCTGAGAGAGCGTCACCTGTGGGATGAGGATTTTGTGCAGTGGAAGGTTGTGGAAACTCTGGACAAGCAAACAGAAATCTATCAGTACGTGCTGAACAGCATGGCCCCCCATCCTTCCAGGGACTTCGTGGTTCTCAGGTAAGCCTGACTCTAGGGTTTAAGATGTTTTTGTTTCCAGAAGCAGATTAAGAGCTGCATATTTAGGGGCGCCTGGGTGGCTCAGTCAGTTAAGCATCCGACTTCGGCTCAGGTCATGATCTCGTGGTCCATGAGTTCAAGCCCCGCGTCAGGCTCTGTGCCGACAGCTCAGAGCATGGAGCCTGTTTCAGATTCTGTGTCTCCCTCTCTCTCTGCCCCTCCCCTGTTCATGCTCTGTCTCTCTCTGTCTCAAAAATAAATAAACGTTAAAAAAATAAACTTAAAAAAAAAAAAGAGCTGCTGCATATTTAAACATTTCGCACAGTTCTATCACCTAAGTTCAGCCTCTGCTGGGAACTCTGAGCCGGTGCTCGCTGCCCTCAGCGACACCTGACTTTGTTGTATTTATGCCCGACTTCCTGCTTCCTTCACCCAGTTTACAGCTGTGCTGGGCTCTCCTCTGGCCCCTTTCATTACGGAGCAGACGGTTTATTAGGCCATAAATACTGCTCATTTCCTCAGAACAGAGTCCCAAGAATAAGCTGCTGTTGGTCCAGTGGGACTTGCTGCCATGTTATGCAAATTGACTCTGACTTTTCTCCTGATTTTGCCTTTTCTCCCTTGGGAAAGCAAGTCTTTGGTGTGGGTACCTCTTAAGACAGAAGTATGTGCAACCTCAAAATCCATCAGTGCAACCTCAGAGATTCATAACTCATTGCCGTGCGTGGAAACCTTGGCACAACCCCGAGGCCCAACTGTGCCTTAGGCCCAACTATGCACAGACAGCTGGGTATCCAGGAGGATTTCAGGGCCTGAAAGGCCTGCAAAGCCTTGTGTCTTCTGTTCAGGTGTTGCTTCTGATAGCTTTCTGGCTTGAGTTCTGGCCCCTTGCCCTCTGGGTTTGGAAGGGGTGCTCAGCCAGCAGTAGAAGGCGTGCAGAGTATAGCTGTGCACATGGGCTGGGGAGTCATCATCGAATCAGAAAGGACAGGGACTGAGGATACCAAGAAACCAAATAAAATGTAATTAAACCAATATATGCTTTTTTTATTGATAACTGACGGCAGACAGTGTCTCTTCCCATAGATTAGCAGTGCAAAAGGAATCACTAGTGAAATTCCCCGACATCTGTTTCAAATACTTTATGAAACTAGTTTTGATGGCAAACCACAGGTTACTTTTCACACAGGCTATTTATGCCTTTGGAGTTGGTCCTTGGGACCTTGAATTCTAAGGGTCATTTTTGCCGAAATATATGTGTTTATCTTAGCAACGTTGGGATCCTGGTGGAGAACGTGGGCAGTTTTAAGGGTGGCTTAGTCCCACAGTTGTTGGGACATTAGTCATCTCGTGGAAGTTCAAGTTCACATCTTCACTCTTGCAACTAGTTCTTCTGGGATGGCAGCCAGTTCTTCTGGGATGGAACCGTGCCATGGCGTGCCTCTTCCCTCCGTTTGGAGGAGGTTGAGGGCCAGAGTCCAGGCATGGAGCCTCGTCCTTCTATCCATCCCACAGTCCCACCAGCCTATTTCTCAGTACAGGACATCATTCCAGTACCGTGGGGAGTCTGTGGGGATAATGCTGTGAATACAAGAGACTGCAGTCCTGCTCTCTTGGGGTTGGCATTTTATCCGGGAGGGAAGATCAATAAATAATGAGTAAGGGGATCAGGTTCCTTATCTTGGGGTGGGGGCGATAAGGAAGATAGGAGGATAGTAAGGGGTTGAATTTTAAACATAGTGGTTAGGGCAGAGTCTCACAGCACCGATAGTTAATCCACAACTTGAAAGAGAAAGTGGTTGCATCATGAGGCTCTGAGCAGGAAGAACTCGACGCTCGAGAAAATTAACCACGCAAGAAGGAAGAAGGTGGTTCTGACACAAGAAGGTAGAAGGTGACAAATATGGTGAGGAGGTCACAAGGCTGAGATGCTTCCTGTTCAGAGTGTCTCCCTCTCTAGACCAGCTTGTACGCGGCTGGTCTCCATTCAGGACCACCACATTTACTTCTTTGTCTCCTTCCCTAGATCCTCGGGAGCTTCCAGTGGTAGCTACTGAGGATTCTTCCATTTTATCCCCACAAATCTGTACAACTTCCAGTTTTTATTGCTAATCACTTCATCTCACGTGAAGGGAAGGGTCCCACCCGTGGAGAAGTTGCTAGGCATTTCTATAGGGCTTTGTTCTTCCCAAGGTCTTGCTGGGCACCCAGAGTAGTTTCTCTTCCTGGTATAGTAGGACAGGGCTGACAAAGTTATAGAAGATATGGCCAAGCAAGGGAGGGGATTGGTGATGTAAATAACTGGGATTATGATAATGAAACCTGTATCTTACGATAGAAATGATGGTTACACAGATTCTCTCACAGTTCCTGATTTCCGTCTGCAACATTTTTCCAAGTGGTAGCCCCCTCTCTGTTTGAATGGCTCCCGTAACAGGGAACTTCCTACTCCTCAGACAGCCTGTTTCATTTTTGGAGAGCGTACTTTGTGAGACAGGTCTTCTCTATACTGAGCTGACACACGCCGTCGCATCTCTGCCTGCTGGAGTCAAATCGACTGTGTTTTTTTCTTGTTCTGCTTAGGAGCCACTCAGGTATTTGAAAAGAATTAGCAGTCCACATGTGTCTAATTTGCTTCAGGCCAAGCACACCAGCTCATTTCTCCTGTAAGACTGAGTTGAGCATCACTTCCGGAAAGCCTTCCCCTGTCAGCCCTACCTTCCTTTCCACGTGATTGCAGATCGCTCCGTGCATAGCCTCATCACTGCACTCACTTTGGTGTTTCAGACGTTGCTCTGTATGTCTGTTTCTCCTCCTTGGCTGTGTATCTTTGTGTTCTTAGTGGCTTCTCATGTGTCCAGGAGATGTTTATTGAATGAATTGAATGGGCAAGTCCTAATTCTAAAACCGTAAGACCAACCGTTCAATAATGGCCAGGAACCTCTACAGCCTTGATTTGGGGTTCCAGAGGCAGACTGGAAAGCTGCAAGACTGGGGCTCCTGGGTGGCTCAGTCACGTGAGCATCCGACCTTTGATTTCAGCTCAGGTCATGATCCCACAGTTCATGGGTTTGAGCCCTGTGTCGGGCTCTTTGCTGACAGCACGGAGCCTTCTCGGGATTCTCTGTCTTCTTCTCTCTCTGCCTTGCCCCTGCTTGCTCTCTGTGTCTCTGTCTCTTAAAATAAGTAAACAGACATTAAAACAAAAGGTTTAAATAATTTTTTTTAATCAATAAAGTAAAATAAAAATAAAAGGAAAGCTGAAAAACCATTTCTGGCCTCTGGGTCGGAGGGCTGAGACCCTTGCTTTGAACTGTACTGTAAAGATTTTACACACCCTTCTGGAAACCATCCGTTGAAGTAACCAGGATTGGGATTTGAGCGGGAAAACAGAGGCGCGAACCTCAGTGCCGCGCCCACGTGTTTCTTTCTCTCTCGGCCCTAATCCTGCGGTGCTGGGTGCTCTGCCACAGGACCTGGAAGACGGACCTGCCCAAAGGAACGTGTACCCTGGTGTCCCTCTCCGTGGAGCACGAGGAAGCCCAGCTCATGGGCGGCGTGCGGGCCGTGGTGATGGATTCTCAGTACTTGATAGAACCGTGTGGCTCCGGCAAATCGAGACTGACCCACATCTGCAGGATAGACCTGAAGTAAGTGTGCCCTCCCGGGGACGGCAGGCTCACTCAAGGGCCCAAGTCGCCAGGGCGCCGTTCGTCGTCCTGATCCCCCATTTCACCCTACTTGGTGTTTTCGCTGCCGTTCGCGTGCTTTCGTAGGTAATCGCTCCCCCTCTCTGTTTTCCTTTTCCCCCTCCTTCCCAAGCTTCTGACGTTCTCCTGCAGCCCTTTGCTTTTCTTCACGTTCAGTGCCATTCCCACTCTGTGTGCTTCTCAGGCAGGGCGAACACACGCCTGGTGGCAGCACAGCGATCGCCAGTCCCCTTCTCGTGTGTTTCTGTCGCGCCTGCTCTCCTCTTGCCGCCCCCTCCTGTTGCCGTGCGTTGAGAAGAAACGAACTTACTTCCGACCCCATCAAGGCAGTCACGATGCCGAACAGGTTCTTGGCCTGGGTCCGTGGACACTGAGTGTTCTCAGTGAATTCCGGAATTCAGTCTGAATCTTCTCTGGGGACATGGTATTGCTGCGAAGCACCCAGTGAACCCTGAAGAGACAGACTGAATACTTGGCCAAAAAGGCATTTTCCAGGCACCTGATGACAGAGTGCGGTTCTCAGACCCTCGAGGCGTCAGCCCCGAGTTGTAGGCATGCGCCCCGAGGTGCGGGCCACAGCACAGCCCGGTCTGCCGTGATAAAGTGCTGAGGTTTGGAAAAAGATTTTCCCACTTCCTTTCTCATTTTTGTCCCCACAGAGGTCACTCCCCAGAGTGGTACAGTAAAGGCTTTGGACATCTGTGTGCAGCAGAAGTTGCCAGGATTAGAAACTCTTTTCAGCCCCTCATTGCTGAGGGTCCAGAAACTAAAATCTGAGTTTTCCCCAGTGCGACATCAAACTCAGGGAAGAGGAAGTGAACAGAAACACTTGTGGGAGAGGCTGCTCGTGAGAAAGCGAGAGAGAGAGAGAGAGAGAGAGAGAGAGACGTGGTTAGTGCTTAAAAATGGAAACACTGAGAAGTCGGAATGTTGAAGAGGCAAGAATTGCTGAGAACTTTCCTAGCCTTCCTGGAGACGGCTACATCCCTACTAATATAATATTTTTAAAAATCGGAACATTTATCTATGTTACTTAAAATTAAATGGATTATTTCTTGTGCATTGCCTAATTTGCTATTTAAAGGCTTCTAAGAAGCATACTCTTAACTGTAAATAAATGTATGTATAGCATATGTACATATGTGTGTATATCTCTATCTTCACTGTATATATGCACAGTATCAATTTTATATATAATTGCGTCTTTTGAAAAGGAATGCATCTGACTCAGTGAGTCCCTTCCTCACTCACGTGGTTCTTTCCGAGTTGCTCTGGGCCCAGCCCCCCACTGTCCTGCTGCTAACACCCAGGTATGAAAATGTGTAGTCTGTCGGTCGGCCCCGATGTCTAACCAAAGATTAGCTAACCAAAGGAAAACAACATTGAAAGTTGTTATGTGTTGTCAGTTTGCTTGCGTCCTTCAAAAACTGAGCTTGGAGTGCTGGAGAATGCTGGGAAAAGAATACTTACTCCTCTTAAAAGCACAGAAGTGGAGTAGAAGTCATGACCAAGTATAAGGCTAGGTTGCCAGTGGCCAGTGGACCCGGCCGGATGCAGTTTGGTGAGATGTCAGATGTCCACGGGCCACTGGAGTCAGGGCAAGTGACTGCAAGAACTTCATTGCCCTGCTGGTTAGAGCCAAATATAATAGCCTTTGCGTAGTCAAAGCCCAAGGGAGCCTCTGTGTTTTATCGAGTTTCCATAGATACATTTTATCATGTTCCTAAATGTCATTCTGTATGACCAGTGGCCTTTTTGGTCACAGTTAATCGGCATTTTCTTACCGATACATTGCACTGAATTTAACTCTGGACACCAGACGGGGGGAGGCGATGGTCACTTGAGAGTCCTGGACCATTACAGCTTCAGGGAATTCTTATTTTGCCATGGAGGATGTTCTTAAGATATAATTCGTTAAACTTTTGCAATTTAAAAGACAGGGTTTTAAACTAACGATAAGACCAAAACTGTACTCTGCGAAAATAGAACTCTTAGAAAATATAAACAGGTTTCTTAATTTCATATTTCTTCATTAGCCAGTCAAGCTACCTACACGTTTGACCCAAACTTATTTATTATTGTATAGACTAAGCAGATTGACTCTCCTTAACCCATTGCTAATGGATTTAAGTTGTGGAGTTTTTTTGTTAATTGTAATTCGACAATGGTAGAGAGAAAGATAAGTTATTATGCTTGGCTTCAGGAAGAGATTTTCTTTGGTAATCCATGAAGATTGGCATCATAACTTAGCAACTGGTATGGGAGGAAAAAAAAACCTTAAATGAGTGTTTTCCCTTTCTTTTGTATTGTTATGCATTTATGTTATTATGTAATGTTTTTCCTATCAGCAATGTGCAATTCTTTTATTGAGAGAAATAAAAATATTATATATGAGTTCTCTATGGTGCAAGGAAAATCATACTATTTGAATTATGACCTGGGAATTTTTCATTTCCTTGCCTACAAAGAAGTGGCCAGCAAACCCGTAATTTTCAAGTTGGGCAATGCTCCGTGAGGAAAACAAATTCATTTCTGCCATGCATCTTAAATTCAACCATATATGTTGGATTACCTTAATATGCATAGACAAGATTAATGAAGTTTAATCTAGTTTAACACTGGTCCAGAGATGGAATCCTAGGGGTTTGGAAAATACGCTAGACACACACGGATGAATCGTACTGTATCACCAAATTTAGCGTGAACACGAATCACCCGGAGATCTTGATCAACTGCAGACTCTAATTCAGGCAGTCTGGAGTAAGATTCTACATTTCAAACAAGTCTCGGGGATGCCTATGCTGCTGGCCCAAAGACCACACTCTGGGAAGCAAGAGGGTACTAAAACCAATACGGTTGTATTCATGGCCCCCCTTCTCTTTAAATTACCTGACTTTCCCATTTTTGCGCGTGTACTAATCACATCACTGCTGCATAACCTAGTGCGTCTAAAAAAATAAAACAGGAAAAATGAGGGAAAAGATGCATCGAGCTTCTTTGTCAAATACCACAGTATTTTATTCATTGTTATCTTGCCAATGGAAATAAAATATGATATTGCATTTAAATATTATATTTATACCTCATGTATATTTTTACCTCAATTGTTGGTATCAATCATCAATTGTAAATAATTGCCAAGGCAAATAAATTTATATACATTAAATATTTCCTATTTTCTATAAAAATATATGTTGATTTTCATGCTTCATCCTGTAAGCGGAAAACCTGTCTTCAGTACGTCTCCCAAATACAAGGATGTTGTTACCAACAAACACTAACAGTCTGGGCGCCTTAATTTGCGTCTAAGGCATTAAGGCGATAGGAAGGGCTTATTTTTTTTACGTTTCATTGTTATGAAGTCTGGAAGTTCTAAAAACACATCTACGGTATTTTTATTGAAGATTCTGGAAACTACAGCTACATTTCATTTTCACAGGGTAGACGAGAAATTGAGATATGATGAAGGGACTTCTGGCTGCACCCCTGGGCCACAAAGAGTAGCCACATCTGACCCCGAGCCTCTGGCCTTCACTCTATTTGTTGTCTGCTTTACTTCTAACAGATAACTAAAGTAGCTCCTCATTAAGTTAAGCAGAAGCTCCCTGGTAGTCTCGGCTACAGGCTGCAAAAGGCACAGCAGCCCAAGAGACCATATGCCCGCATAAAAATTATCCAAACCCTGCCCTCTGCTCGTCTCTCTCATGCCTTCCCCCCTTTCGTGAAAGGTTTCCTGTCCTAGCCAAAGGAGGAATTTCACTTGCCCCCTATGGGAAAGAAGAGAACACGGTGGTCATTCTGGCGGCCACCGGCTACAAACATCCTGAGCCCCCAGACCATATGAATTCAAACCTGATGCAAGCATACGTCTTGAAATTCTCAGGGATGACGTTGCTCTGCTGGCTCTTGATATTTGGCCGCACAAAAACCGGTTGTATGTCTTCTTCTCAGGAAGGTGATGTACAGGGATGAAATAGACCCCAGCTAAGGGCAGTGGCACATGCTGACACAAAAGCAAAATCAGCGTGTGCTGACCGAACAAGGAGTTAGGAAATAAACACTTGCAGTCACAGCTCTGTATCACTGCAAAGCCAGCAAGTTTGAACAACGGACAGCATGCGAAGTTGTACATGCCTTCGCCCCCGGCCGACTACATCCTCTGGAGAGTGTTTACTTCCATTCCAGCAACCCCACCCAACAGGCCACCCAGATGTCTCCTAACCCACATGCCCCTGTGCCCAGATGAGGCTCAAAATCCCAAGTAGTGCTGTTCCTCTGCAGCAAAATTTCCCGCAGAGGACGTTTGTTCACATGTGCGGTCCACATCCACACGACATTGGAGGGGGCTGGGACACCGGGCAGGCAGAGGTGTGGCTGCAGAGAAGACGGTGTGGAACAGAAACAGTGATAAGCAGCAGTCCTTTCTTGTTACTTGTAGCAGTTCTGTTCGTTAAAGTCACCGTGAACTGAATTAGCGAGTACCAGACCACTGCTCCTGACAGAAATATAGGGGCAGGTTCCCAGGAGCCTCTGCTCACAACATTTGTGTCAACCAATAAATATATAAACCTTGTTCTATGTGAATTTCTGTTTAAACATGCCTTACTCAATATCTATTTCTTACTAATAATGATTGAGCTACGGTATTTCTTTATAGGAAAACAACAGTCAAGAAAGGCTTAATATTTTCCTGACCCCGAGTAATGTGACTGTAGATTTCTTAGGCTTTCAGCCTCACAACAATGCTTTATTACCTTTTTTTTTTTTTTAATGGGCCATCATCTCAGGAATCCACAAATTTAGATGCTGTCCATCTTTTCCATAACTTCATCATGCATTATCAGTGTTACTTTCCAGAGTCGCCTCACTTACAGATCGGTGCATTTCCTCTTTCTTTTTCTAGATGTACCATACGGTCAATTCATTAACATGGAACTCACAGCCAACAGCACTAAAATTCTTGGCTAAACAAATCTTATCTGACACACTTACTTTCTCTGTAAGGCACATTCCGGCTTTCTTGATTTCAGGAACACTAGACAGCCCTTCAGCACTATACCTGGGGGCCATTTTAAACAGCAAAATCACTAACAAAAAGCTCAAAAAGGGGGAAAACGTGGTACTGAATACACCGTGAAAAGGATACTTCTTTACGGCACGAGAGCTGAATCAGGAAGGCAGAGGTCACATTTGCTTGGTCTCAGCTGGGAATGTGCATGAACATCGGTGACTCCAGTTCTGTGCCAAGAATGACCAGGAAAGAGCAGTGAGTATTGATTTGGGGATTACAAGTAAGTTTTGAAAAGTGGGTGAATTTGCAAATGCAGATTCTGTAAGTAATGAGGATGAATATATATACAATACCCAGTAGTAAGTTACTGCAAAGTCTATGAAGCCCAGAGGTGGTGGTGACCCCCAGCGACTTCAGAAGAGTGACAAAGGGCCTGGCACATGGAAAACCTAGGATGTGAAGGGACAGGACGGGCTTGGGCATCAGGTAGAAGTGGGGTGTGGCTCAGGCCGAGGTCAGAGGGTACAGAGGATAGGAGTGAGTGGAGCAGGAGATAAAGCTGGATGGTCACGAGCCAGGAATTGTTCAGCTGCAGCAGGGACGTTGGGCTTTCTGTATTGAGCCAAAAAGCAGAGAGGTGGATTCACATTTGTTCTGATGGCAGAGACTTAAAATGGGCTAAAAGAGAATTGGCATGTTCTTATATGCAGGAGCAGGGATATGAAGACACCCCCATCTTTGCCTTTCCCTCTTCCTTTTGGTTTCT